AACACTATGCTAATATATGTAATTAATTATAATTATCACAAAAGCAATAGCTCTTGAACTCAAGATTATATTTAAGACGGTCTTAAATATAAGAATCAGTTATGAATGTTGACCTAGCGATTTGCGTTCGCCATTGGTTGTAGAAAATTTCGAGGTGTACATACAATTTGCATTAATTACGCATTTGAATACGCGCATTTTGAACACACAATTAATGCAGTTTAGAAGCCAATGCAGTAAAATGCGCATTAAACGCACGTTATACGCGCATTGGCGCTCCTTGGGGAATAAAAGTCAGAAATTTCTTCGTACCGGAATCAACATGAAACTTGGACAAGTCTAGAGCATTTTTCTCTTGTACATATCTCTTAACCATGGCTTGCTTCAATCGTTCTTTCAACTTTTCATCAATTTCGCAAATTGGAAATCCGGGCTTCGCCTTCACTTGTAACTTGAATCCGTCATTCATCAGAACCTTGCAATCGCAACGCAACAATGCGTTCGCCGTCTTATGATCGTCAATATAGAAACTGGCTTCACTTCCCATTACCTTGTACTGTAAACAATTTAGCGGTGAGGATTTATGGTTTCGAGGTGATTTTTATTGTCGCTTTATTTATACATGCAGACTGTCATTCAAATTACATTAATACATTATACTAAATAAAAAATATGAACTTTTCCTGCAAGATAAAAATAATAGTTACCATTATGGGAATGAATTCGTGAGGTGCCATACAGTTGAGAAGCGTATGAATAACGTACTCCTTCGAATACTTATTACCAAATGGTATCTGTAAGACACAAGTAAAAATTTAGTCCAAGCTGTAATATACAGGGTGTATTATTTTAAGTGATGCAGCTAAATATCTCTTAAAATAAAAGAGATAGGAAAAAATGTTTTAAACAATAGTTTTATAGTACCAAGGGAGGCAGAAGTTGGCCATGTCAGTTTAATTATAGGTGGCGCCACTTTCGAGATTTCTACCATAGACTTATATACAGGGTGTCAGATTCGATATGGACGACCCCAAAGATTATAGTAGATTGGGTTAAACTGAAAATAAAAGTGATATAAAATTGTACAAAAACGTAGTTATTATCGTACTAATGTAGAAAAACGTCTGAGCCAATAAGGCCGGACTCGGCAGCATGCAAAATGTTGTTTTTGTTGA